GCTTCGTCCGGGTCCAAAAAGTTAAAATAAAAGCACTCTAATGCAACGGTCCTGCTCCCAACCCCCCCCCCCCCCCCCCCCCCCTGCGGTTTATCCCGTTTTCAACCCACGCGAGTTCCACTTTCCCGATAACTCTTTGACTGGTGGTGGTTTTTAGGGTTGAACCGGTCAGACAGCCGTACAGAGCGTCCACACACACACACATTCGTGTTTACTTTATATATAAGGACGCATGACGGAAATAGGACAAATGTTTAGGTGCCTTTCCAAAGGTTCTTAGGACAATAGAGATATTTGGTTTAGAAGTATTTTGGGGCTTCTAGAACACTCTAGTATGCTCAGAAAAATGAGGACGCGAAAAGTGTCCTCATTTATCTACGCGTCCTGATATTGAAGGTGTGTATTCACAAAATTGTCCTGATATATCATGAAAACAAAAACACACACACACACACACATATTTTCCTTCTTAATTCAAGAGCCAGCAGCGAGTCCCTGAATGTAGCACGCAGACTGTAGGAGTGATGGGGAATCCCTCACCCTGGTCACTGTCAAACAGAGGAAAAAAGGCCTGGATTTGACCCAACGAGTGACCGGCAGCTGCCCGGGGGAGTCGAGAGGGGGTGATGATTTACTGAACGACTAGGTTTGCTGTCAGTTTTTTAACCCTTTAAAGCCTGATCCAAGAAATATAGGAAGATTTTTTTTAGTCTGAAGTCTTTCTTTGGCCCCTCAACAGCATATAAAGAAAAAAAAACAGACATTATTTTGATCAAATTAGCGTGCAATAAGTCAAAAATATATTTTGGTGTAGTCTTCTACTGGCTGTTATCAGGTATATCTGAATGTGTACAACAGGGGTTTGAGCAAAGCTTTTACCACTGAATGATGCAAAAAGTCTCAGATCCAAAAGACTTCAGAAACCGTATGAATCAAATATGATACATTTGGCATTATAGGGTTAAAAATATATTTTGCTTTGCTTTTCTCAAAACGACAGCTTTTATGGGTAATTATCGGGGGTGAATTGGTGGGGGTGGTTTAAGGAGATCCTAACCCAGAGGACGCGGAGAGTCTGCGGGGTCCTCGAGGAAGTGAGTGCAGCTCCAGATGGAAATGAATGTCCAGACTCTTTGTTGAATGGTCAGAAGAAGCCACTGTGAATGCACGTCGTGCTCAGAGCTGGAGGGGGTCCAACATTAGAGTAGTTTTAGAGCATACGGTTTGTGTAGGCCGTTAGATAGGACGCAGGAGGGTGGGTTGGGGTCAGGGTTAGGTTAGTGTTAAGTTAGGGTTAGGTTAGGGTTAGGGTCAGGGTTAGGTTAGGGTTAAGGTCAGGGTTAGGTTAGTGTTAGGTTAGGTTAGTGTTAGGTTAGGTTAGGGTCAGGGTTAGGGTTAGGGTTAGGTTAGGGTCACGGTTGGGGTCAGGGTTAGAATGGCTGAAGGATGGAGGAGCTGCTGGCCGATGCACCAGTTAGGGTCAGGGTTAGAGTTAGGTTACGGTTAGGGTTAGGTCAGGGTTAGGTTAGGTTCAGGGTTAGGGTCATGGTTAGGGTTAGAACGGCTGACGGGTTAGGGTTAGGGTCAAGGTTAGGGTCAGGGTTAGGTTAGGGTTAGGGTCAGGTTTGGTTAGGTCAGGGTTATGGTTAGGGTCAGGGTTAGGGTTAGGGTCAGGGTTATGGTTAGAACGGCTGAAGGAGCTGCTGGCTCCACTTTTCCCCACACTAACTAAGCTGAGCTCTTTTCCCAAAG